ACTCCTAAACATTGGGTGGTATTATATTCAAATAAACCCATTATATCTCACCTAAAGGTGGGATATGGGGAAGGTGTGGTGTTACTATATACATATGTCTAAAGAAAAATACTTCAAAACGGTATAGTTTACTATCGAGGGTTCGAATCCCTCTCTTGGGTTGGGTTCCAGTGAAAATGAAAGTTATTGTGAAAAGGGTAAGAAGGGATCTCCATCCTTGGATCAATCATAATTGAAGAGAACCATTAGATCAACACTGGATTAATTCCATTCTAAAGGCAATTCATGGGTTGTTTTGGGATTAAAAGTGATCAATGGTTCAAATTCCTTCTTACACTTCTCACCTTAACTCTTATTCTCACACAACCATTCGTCTGTTAAGCAAATCATCATGGTGATTCTGTCACCTGACTAATTCAAACCTGGATGTTCTCTTTTGAAGTATATAACATTTATATAAAGCAAAGGAAACTCACACACACTCCTCATCTGGGTTACTGGACACCGCCAAGCCAAGTGCCATTTGGTTCAAATTTAGATGTTCAACAGGAGCATCCATAACTGCCTTTGATATCTTCATCATATTAAAAAGGAATCTTTGAGATATGTCAAATATTCAGTTCACTATACTAGATTTTAGAGGACCAGTTCTCCAACAAAATTGCAGATTCCTATTCTCTTGCTACTGGGGGAGAGGGACTGCTCCTATAGCTTATGATTATAAATTTCGAGTATTAAAAGGAAACTTTTAAGATACGAAATGCCGGTCAGGGACCATTCAAAGTTCAAAGCTTCAACTTGCTAGAATGGAGCATAAGCACAAGAGCGAGACTAGACTAGACAGAAGGGCTCTGAGAAGGACTTAGGAATCCACTTTGTTATACAATAGAATGATGCTGTTTCAACTTATCAATATAAAGATGCATCTTACCTCACACACTGCCTATAACTCTTGTACAGATTCCTTACTACGGAAAGTTGCATTATTTACATATATATATATATATATATATATATATGTGTGTGTGTGTGTGTGTGTGTGTGTATTTCAGGTCATAATCACCGTACCCCCATCAGCATGTGGATGAGAATGCACATACACGACTTCACCAACTTGAATTTTTTAAGATTCGAGTTCTTTCCCGAGTTCTGTGACATTCCAAACTTGCAAATACAGGAATGTTTAATGATCACTAGGAATCCTCTATATCTAGGCCAACATTCACAGCACTAATCATTTCATTCACATTAGGATCTAAGACTGTGCATCCTCATCTCTTACACATGAAACCTCACCTACAATGAACTTTATAGATATTATGTTTAATAAGGGCTATTTAGCTGAATGACCTTCTAAAAAAACTGAATTTTAAGAATCTAATCCTCTAGTATATTTCTAAGCTTTTACAGGAGCAAAAGTTGTTTTGTCAGGGCAGGATGTTTGGAAGTCAGATATAGGTTATTGAGCTAAAAGAAATTAGGCCATGCTCCTAATTGAGAACTCATTTAAGGTCATTCATCCAAAAGACCCGTTTTAATAATCGGTAAAGATGTCACCATCTTTAAGGTTCATCCTGACACCAATATTTCTACTTCGTTACGATGCTACATTTGCATTAGAATGAATTTGACATAGTTGTTCCACGGTTCCACCATGAGATAGTTTGAGGTATTTAGTTAAATGACCTTCTATGGACTTCTACAAACCAACTTTCTAGTGGTTTTTCAAGATTCTCAGAAGCATGGTGTTATACACCAGAGTTGCCTCTGGTGTAAAAACACCAGAGAAAGGTCATTTGAAGGTTACTGAGTTAATTCTTTTTAAAAGGTCATGCCCCTAATTGAAAACTCATTTAAGTTCATTTAACTAATTAATGCAGTGCGGGGAATTTTTAGAAAGACCCAATAAAGCAGATTCTCAAGTGAACAATACCACGCGTGAATGCGATCTCAATCAGCCCCTTTCTATTTCCTCCTTTCCAGCTGAAGTGTATGTCAAATGATCTAAAACAGCAGATTCTCAAGATTTTTCTAAATATGAATCGGGCCACCATATTCAAAGTCATAGTTTTGTGGATAGCAAAATAATCAGTGTCATTTGTCTAATGCAACCAGGCTACTCTAGGCCATGTAAAGAGTTGAAAGTTAAAAATTTGTTGTCCCAGGATGAACCTCAAAGATTGTGACAGCATTACAGAATTTTATGATGGCCCCATGCAGATATGTATTCTGCCACTAAAAGTGAATATGGTTCTATTCACTAGTCATAAGAATTAAAGTAGCCAGATATTCTCTGATTTTTTTTTTCACATCCACCAAGTTAAACAGCTTACTTAAGTATGTGTTTGTTGTTATATATTCAGTATATAGTATATTTTTATCTTGTATATTTAACATTGTAACTTTTAAGATAATTTCTTTTTTTAGTTTGATTTCAAACTTATGTAATACCCACATACACACGTGTATACAAGCATACTAAAAAATCCTTAAAAAATTTCACTCAATCCTAGTATTCGCTTATCGTGTACCAAAATCTTACTCCTGTATCCTTGCGATATAACATCCAAGAAATGGAGATAACATTCTCATGTACCTTAGGTTGTCATGTGATTTGTCTTTCTCTTTCATCCCATCAGCCATCATAAGTAACATGAAAAAATTAGAAGCATTTATTAACTCAAAGTATGCAGCATAACTGAACTTAATGATCGGAAAGTAAGAACTGCTTAAAAGAATATACAAACACTATAATGCAAGTCTCTTCCACCCCAGCCTCCAAATAGATAATAAAAAAATGAAAATAAATTTTATGGTGCTAGCGGTACATAAAGCATTTATCATAAATGGGTGTCCATAGTTTCATCTAATACCAACAAGTATGTCAGTGTAAATGTTGATGGAAATCAAGTAAGAAGTTAAAGGCGTACAGCATCATTTTAAACCATACAAATACAATCATCCCACAGAAGAAAATCAAAGGCAACAAGTTTGTATCTATCCTTGTATCCAGTAAGGAGCCAACCATTTACACCAATGACAGGAAATGTTGGCTCCACAACCTGAAAAAAGGTACTATGGCCTGTAAGCAAACAATCGTCATCTATGAGAGTCGAGAGATGTCAATAGTATATTGCAATTAAACTGCCAATCTGAGTTTTAAATATGTGCAACATATAATGAAAAAGGGGTCTCGTCCTTGATGAGAACATTATTCCGATGCCTTAATTAGGAGTTTTCTGATGCTGAACTTATTGTTTGTTTTAACTGAAGTTGCTAGCTAATTTGTGACTCAACTCGTACAGTCAATTTTCATCTGAAATGCGAACAGGTGGTTTCTAGCTCAATGGTATGATATAAAGTTACATTACTTCATGGTATTTTCTAGCACAACCAAAGTTGTGTCATGGGTGCCATGATGTGATGAATCTCACTTACATTAATCACATCTTACTTGCATTATATAAGGTTAAACATGAAAAAGAGCAGGATTTTCTTTCTTACAGGTTGACATTGATTTTACATGATTGACAAGTCACCATCAGCATCTCAACAGTCGCAGCAGAGCAAACTGGGTGTAAAGGATAAAAAGGCAGATTAAAACAAAGGAACACTACATGCACGCAAAAAAAGACCTCTCATTGATGTTTGATGATATCAAATCTAACAAAATCTGACAGCAAATATGTTAGCACAGCATCAGAATAGAGCCGAGAAGTTATCAAAGACTATAAAGCAACGTAGGACACATTCACAGATCAAAACCGGTAGGTAGTTACCAACAACCACCATTTTTTTCTATTATAAACCAAAAGAAACCAAACAAATCCAATATATATCCCACTAGAAGATGGGACTGGAAGGCAGACCTAACCCCTACCTCAGATAATAGAGTTGCTATTTCAGTAGAGACCCTCGGTTTGCAAAAAGTGTGGCAAAAAGAAAGGTTGACCGAAAAGGCTGAATAAAATAAAGGTTAGGACTAGACAATTTTCCTACTATACCAAGATGGAAAGCTGTCGCCTTTTATTTTAAAACAAATGTTAAAATTATAGTACTAGGTAAAATCGAGTCATCTACTCATCATTTTCACTATGCTCTCAAGAATCATGATAATTCATATGATTTCATTAGAAGAGATGATAGGCCATATCCATCAGTAAACTGGTAATCAATATTTCTTGATGGAAAAAAATCAATCTCTAATGTATGTAAAATAAAAGAAAAAACAAAAGGACCCTATTGTAAATGAGAGAATCATAACACGTGTTAAGGTTCTCTAGACATAACAAATCAATGTACGGAAACACAGGTAGCCAGCTATAAGACTTGGAATTTTCTTCAGGACAAAGTACATCTTCGGATAACCCATGAAAGGCTATTTCTTTTCTAGTAACTCTAAAACTGGTAAGATTGGTCTTGACACCCTTTTGAGAAGTGCTGTATGGTTATTTGATCTGGTGGCTGGGACCCGCCTTATTTTTATGATAACAAAATAGCTTTCTCAATATAACCCTTCGAGATACAAACTTTATTTCAATTGGCATCCTTGGTAAGGCACTGACTTGCTAGATATGCCTAATTAAAGATTGAAAAGGCCACAAATAAAACCAAATCATGTGCATGTAGTGTCAATATTTGAAGTTTATATGCTATATAAGGAATAATATAGTTGAGGAAAGTCTCCTATGTCAATTATAACGCTTCATCTTTTTTTAGAACTATAATATTGTGTTACAGAGGAGAACCCACATGCTGAAAGGGAGATTTTACCAATAAGACGTCAACCAAGATATGGAAATCACTGGCAAATAGGAAGATAAATGGTTCTTGGATATATTGATTCTTCTATACTGGAGAAATTTGTCATCCTGCTCACTTTTGTGGTGCTTAAAGAGACGAATCCTTTAAAATTCTTCTCGTTTGCAATCTTTATAGGCCATCTAGCATGACCCCACTTCCCCCTTCCCTCTGTTCCTAGAGCTTATAAAAGAGACACATTGCCACCTATTGACACATATCAGCTCTTGAGCCTTAAGTTGAAAGAGTGTTCTGCCAATCCTCTGAGATCATTTGTATTCTGCCTGCCTAGCCTTTTGTATCTCTACTCACCTAACCTAAATTTTCCTTGCATTAACACATCAACCGAGACTTGTTTCCTCTTTCTTGAGTGTGTTCATATGGCATCAAGCTCAATGTCTTCACGTGGCTCAGGTTCATGGACTGCCAAGCAGAACAAGGCCTTCGAGAAGGCTCTGGCTGTGTTTGACAAGGATACCCCTGATCGTTGGCATAATGTTGCCAGGGCTGTTGGTGGCAAGACTGCAGAGGAGGTGAAGCAGCATTATGAAGTCCTTGTGGAGGATGTCAAGCACATCGAAAATGGTCAAGTTCCTTTCCCCAATTACAGGACCACTGGAGGTGCATAGCTAAGGTAATATAACAGTAACCCACAACGAGAGCATTTGGTATATTGAACTTTTTGCTTATGTATGGAATCAGTTCACCGAAGAACAGACTTATACCTAGCGGCTAGCTATCACCTTATTAAACCCCCAAGGGATGGTCAAGTTGGCAAAACAACTTGAATACTTTCACAATAGAGTTGGAGACTCGAGTTCGAGCCTTTTGGTGTTATTACCTCTTCTTGTGGGACAACCAATTTCCCAGGAGAGGTTTCGTGGGTCGAGTGTATATGGTGGTGGACTCATATCCCATGGACTTAGTCAGCTAAAGGTTGCACATAACATTTACTAAAAAAAGAAACAATAGCCTCACTTTTTACTCATGAAAGCAACATGTGGCATCTTTAATCAAGTTCATATGCATTCATAGAAAAGCATTAGCATCTATAATCTCCCTTTTTTTGAAATCAAGTTGTAAGAACAAAACAACAAAATGTAAGAAATCTAAGTTGGCTACAAGTGAAGAACATAAACTAGACTAGTCATGAGGACTCCATAACCTGATCAAATCCATCAAATCCTTAATTTTGGGGATAATTTCATAAATTTTGCTGGGTAACAAAATCCCTTTAGAGAACAGTTCTTACCTAGAGCATTATACTTAAGATACCATAAACCTAAGCTTCATCTTTTTACCATTTATACTAAGGTTAGAGACTTGAAGACACTATAAAATCCACTTTCCAGTTAATACCACTTGTGTTCACCCATGCATACCCAGATTCAGGCTGGTGGCTTCAAGTTTGCGTTTCGTTTATAGCTATTAACTCCTTTTGTACTATTAAGATCGCCCACAAAATATCAGTTCATATAAACCCCTCCTGCTGCAGACATGGCAAGTTTCTCCTGCAAAATCAGCAGAATGACGTCGTTTTATATACCTAATTGAACATAACTGGGTTTTTTATGCAGCTCTCCTCTCACTAGCAAACATGCAATGGCGTTTACATAAAGATCTTCTCCGTATCAAAACTGCAGAAACAAACGCATGAATTAACAAAATATTTTTCGGAAAATGCTATTTCTTCATCTACTTTCGTGTAACTTTTGTCTAAAATGCAGGATGAAAAATCTAAAGCGATGAAACCAAGCACGGACATCGACAAGTAGCAACAATAAAAATGCAACGATAATCGACTTCGATTCAAGCAGATTCAACTAATAATTTGGAGTTCCTTGATGTAATTTGATTTTTGCTACAGACTGGCAGAAAATCTCTCGTTTTCTTTCGTTTTTTCTCCGGTCATTGTATATCGTTAATCTAATGAAGTCACAAGTGAATTGTGCTTCATTTTCAATTTATTTCATCAAATGTTTCCTCATTATATGGGTTCACAACTTTGCAATTGCCAATTCGAGTTGCCGAACATAACATAATGAATCTGACAACCTAAATACATACAAATTAACGAGATTTCTAGAGTGAAGTTAGGGTTTCCAGATGTTCTAACCTTGAAAACGTGATAAACACCTCATGATTCCATGGAGGGAGTGGTTGCAGTATCTTGAGACGAAGCTAAAAGGCGGGAAAATAATTTCGAGGTTGATTCGTTTCATTGGTTATTCGACGTAGAACCAACGGAGGAGGACGATTGGTTTGTATAATCTTAATGGTTACAAATTTACACTTTTGGTCCCTCATGTTGACATTAATCGTCAAGTTTAGTCCATATTTTAAAATAATTACATTTTTGGTTACTGTGGTTGCCACTTTGTTACATTTTGTTCCCTCATATTATATCCGTAAAAGCTTTAATTAAGGGGTCGTTTACTGAATGCTTACCCGATATGTCACTTTACCTTATTGGATGAGCATAACACGGATTAAGAATCCTTCCCGTAAAAGTAGGGGTCTTCAAAAAAACCGTCGGACCGCTCAAACCGGCCGAACCAAGTCTGCGGTCTGGAATCTTTTTTGGGCAGTTTGGACCAAACCGACCGCCAAATACATATACATATACATATACATATACATATATATGTATATGTGTATACATATATATATTATATATATGTATATGTGTATACATATATATGTATATATGTATACATATATATGTATATATGTATACATATATATGTATACATATATATGTATATATATATATGATATATGTATACATATATATATATATATACATATATATATATACATATATATTAGTATTAGCAATCCAACTTTTTAACTAATGGGCTATGACTAAAACATATCCCTAAGCCTAACATATAACACAATCAAAATCGGCGCCTAAAACCATTAAACCATAACACATTTAATATTGACAGTCTCCAATTTTTAAGTCCCTCAATAACTCTATCGATTTTTCTAATATATGGTTTGATTTCGGCGCACATCATCAAGACATCAATCAAGTGATTCAACCAACTTAAATTTGGCTTCTATTTTGTTTGGTCAAGAAATCAAGACTCAAGAATTGAACTATTGAAGGTTGTGAAGTCGTGGATTTTGTTACTCAATACTCACAGTGAAGTTTTAACTTTATTAATTTGTTTGTTTTCTAATATGTAATATATATTTATTTGTTTGTGCTTTGGATTGCTTCGACTTTGTACTCAAGAGCTACTTAATTATTACATTTATTTGTTTAGTTATTTGTTAAAATGGATACTTAATCTAAAATTCTAAATCGTATATGTTTTTTAAGTTTAATATTTAAATTCCATTAAAGGCCCAAACCGCCTAGACCGGTCAGACCAGACCGCCTTCTTGTGGTCTGGTTTGACCGGTCTGGACACTTGATGTCAAACCGCTCGGTTTCAAAATTTTGTAAACCGCCATTATGGTTTGGTTTGTGGTCTGAGGGGTTAAACCGCCCAAACCGGACCGCGAACACCCCTACGTAAAAGTGATGACAAGGACTTAAGCAAGTCATTACCGGATAAATTGTTGCATATGATACCATTTTAATAAACTAAAATATTTTTAAATTCAATTGTGGTTTTATTAAAAAAAATGCAATAGTTTTAAAAAAAAAATTATAGAGGTTCATCTGTGTTGACTCCAGTTCATTTATAATCGCTTAGTAAACTAGTCGATACATGTAAACTGGTCCCAAAAAAAAATTAATCACATTTAATAATTAATATTTTGTATGAGGCCCGCCCTCCCTCTGATGAATGTAGATTATCACATCGACAATGAAACCACGTTAAATCTTTGTATTATTTCGTTATGACTTGTTTATATGCTTAGATCTTGCATCTCTCGTTATTTACATTAAGGTTACTATCTCTTCGTTGGTATTACATTCACAACATCTAAATCATCGTCATCCACATTTGTTGTTGGGTTCTTCACTTGAATTTCTATCGTCTTTCGGACCATAAAAATTGGTTGTGTTGTTACATTTAGCATATCCGACCGCTTGTCGAAGAGTAGCTTAGTTGGTAAAGGGGTAGGAAGATTTTGCCCAAATACATTACAGGTCTTGGGTTCGATCCCAGCCCCCCCGCTAGCCTCAGCCACCAAGTTAGCCAAAAAAATACCTCCTCGCATTGGTGCTTTTGGAGGGGCGCTCCGTATAGGGCCGGTCGGGATTGCCAGTAATTAATTTTTGCCCAAATTTAGCATATCCGACCTTCCAATAAGCAGTGCTTACCTAGCAAGAGATAATATTGTCCACCAACACCTTCTAACCAACAAGTGTTGTTGACCCGGTAAGACTGAAAAGGCTTACTCGGTTAGAACATTTTACCTCACCATCATGTACCCAATTTTTTAGTAAAAGACTCATACGAAAACCAATTTCTATAGAGCATGCATATTCGTTAAGCAAACGATTTCATAAAATCATTGAAGTCGAATCACGTGCTGCAACCACTACAATGACACAGTTATATACTAATCAGAAACGACTACTCGTAGGGGCAATGAACTCTCAACTTCCTTATCATTATCGGCGTTTCTTTCTGCAACAACTTTAGACATTCCAAACATCTGCACTACGCATGATGCTATAAATGTTAAAAGTTAAACCATCAAACATCGGGGTTTGGGGGGGTAGAGATGCACAAGGCCTGGGCTTTTTCGGTCCCGGGCCAAGCCTTTCAAAACCCATTTTCAGTAAGCAAAAAGAAAAGAGCCCGAGCATTGGATGTGAAAATAGGCCTGATTGGGCTTTTTAGTCCCGATCGGGCTTTTGAAAAAATTATGTCCGATCGGGCTTTTAGGACGCTTTGGGCTTTTTGTGCATCTCTATTTGGGAGAGTATGTTAGTATTAGAAACAAACCTTTGAGATAGTCTTTTGGAAGCATGTCTTATGTTCATCCATGGATGCGTTTATAAATTCATCAATGTGATCTTTCACATCCTGCAAGAAAGTTGCATCCTCTGATTTTTTCCTACGACATGATGTCATGACTGGAGCAGAAGCAGCGGGCGGTGGACTTTCTTTGGTTGTCATTGTTGGTTTGATGCTCGATAAAAAGTTGTCACCTTTGGATGAAAGAAAAATTAACAAGATGGGTAATGATTCAAAATGATAGTTCTCAGAATCCATTTGCACAAATAATACATCATTGGGAGGTTCATTCAGGAACCTTAAATGTTTTATGAACCCAAGAACCACCTTTTTTGTGAATCTTCATGATGACTAACGTGATTAAATATTCATGATGAACGTAGTGACAGATATTCAGGAATACTCAGAAAAAAGGGTGGTCCGTGGGCTCCTAAATGAACATTGATCCAAAGAAGAAGTGTTGATAACGAGTTAGCACAGTTTTCTGCTAGGTTAAGGTGTTCTTAGACGATCTAAGAAGAGATAACAGTGAGATGAAATTATAACCGAATAGAACCACAAGAGGGAACCAAAAGGTGCGTCACAGATTGTCATATAAGATAACATCATAAACTTTTCACTTCAGTTGCAATTTAAACGATCAAATTCAATTCACATTTACCAGAATGTAGGAAAGTATTGGACTCTGAGCTTCGTTCTACAACTTCGAGACAGAAACCGAATCACATTAATGCTCAAAGGGGAACGAAGCGATCCAAGAGGAATTCTGCTTGTTCTAACATATAGAGTGCATATGGTAGTAACAACAGTTTACTCATCCTTTCCATGAAAATTATAACAACACTGAGAGGGATCTTGAATGTCAAAATCAATGACCATCAACAATCTAACTGAAAGTTTGCCACGAAAGAAATCGGAATGTTTTAAAATTCTAATCTAAAAATTTAGAGATGTATAGTCTTAAGAAGGAATCACAACCAGGGGATTCTTCATGTGGCCTAAAACCCTAGAACTACTTGTTGTAAACAAGCTCGTATATTAGCTACTTGTTATCACTTATCAAATATTTTCTAACAAGAAGCTAATATATGAACTTGTTTACAGCAAGTAGTTTTAGGGTTCTAGGATACAAAATCAAACTAACACCAGAAAAAATATTGAAGAAACCTCTGTTATCAAAGGCTATACATCTCTAAATTTCAGATTAGATTTTAAAATAAACCACTAACAAATCCTGAATTCAAGAACTAATCAACACAAAACGATATAAGTTGAATTCAAGCTTCTAGTGCTGTATTGTTGTGAAGGAATCTTCAATTAGATGTTCAAATTTTCATCCATTTTGTCAAAACAAATGATGAACAGATCCCTAAAACACCAAATTCCTTCGATTCATATCGATCAGGTAAAATTCAAATCTCTAGAAATCACAGTGTAAGAGAGATTGGAGACATACCTAATACCTTGTTGTAGAAGACGAAATCAACGTTGAATACAGTCGTTACCAACCGAACTTCAAAAGGCTATTCCCTCCTGTGTTATTCTATACGACTGGTGGGATGGATGACGATGAACTTTGATACTCGATACGTCGTCGTTCAACCGAAAGTCCAATTGGGCTGCATGTCATAATTGGGCTTTAATATCAGATGGGCCATTGGATCAAAAAATCGACTAATGTTTTTAACAATTTATTTAGGGGGTGTTTATGATTGCTTATAAAAACAACTTATTGATTTATTCCGGTGAGGTACCGGTAATAAACATTTTTGAGTGTTTGGATAAACAACTTATACCGGTGTTAAACCGATAATAAAGAGTTTTTGAAGAAGTTAAACTCTTCTGACTTATAATAAGTTGATAATGTTTTTATAAAAAAGTATAAGTTATTTCAAATAAGCAATCCCAAACACCCCCTTAATATTCTTAGGTTTATGATGTCGTCAATTAATTAGAAATATGTATAAGTGCCAATTCGAAGACCTAGGTGGCGTTTAATTCATATAATAAACTGTTGGAATTGGAAACTGTCAAAGGAATTCAAATCAGTATGAATATGAATCGAATTTAATCAGATTTGACCATGTGTTTAGTTTTGCAAGAATTGGAATGGAATCAGCTAAAAGAATTTGAATCTGTTTGTTTGGCTTGTTAAATATAATAATGATGTTGGGGTGGAAGCGGTAGTGGTGTTTATGGTAGTGATTGTGTTGACGGTGGTAGTGATGGCGGTGACGATGATTGTGGTGACGACGGTGATGGTGGAGTTGAAGGCAACTATGGTAATGGTCTTGGTTGCAGTGACAACGGTCGTGGAAACGGTGAAGGCAGTAGCAATGGTGACGGTAATGACAACCATCGTGGTGGGATGAAATTGAGTAGTTAAATATAATAACCATAACAACCTTTTTTTAAAAAGATTTTGTTCCAAAGGTCAAAAGTACCAAGAGGTGTCAGGTTCAAATCCAAGAAGAAATAAAAATTCTCTTGTGGCCACGGAGGTTCAAATGCGGTCACTCCTGGCTATTTACAAAGCAGGTGGTCGTTCTGGGATTAGTCACCTCGCATAACAGGTTGGATATACAGGTTAATAATAAATAAATAAAAAAGATGACATGAAGGAATTGGAATTCCTTGCTAGAACCCAAGAAAAATATGCATTCCACCATACGAGGAATTCAAATTCTTTACCAAAACTCAAAGAATGAACCAATGCATGAATGGAATTTATTGAACGGAATTGACCTGAAATCCAAAACCTGACTTTTGGGGGGATATCTGGGTTTGAGTTGGTTTGATTTTTAGCCACCTGATCTGTACAAAAACTTGAAATATATAATTTTTAAATATTATATAAATGTATTTAATTATCTTTGAAAAATCCTAAATCTTAGTTGGTCGTACTCTTTTCTAATTTATGAACCTACTATTGATTTCATTAATTATCTCAATCAATTCAAAGATAGAATGACCAAATTAAGGCCAGGGACCAAATCCAACAAAAGTGAAACCACAAGGACTAAACCCACAAGTTTTGCAAACCACATGGACGAAATATGTAATTTAGGAGTCGTTTACTGAATGCTTACCCAATAAGCACTTACCGATTCACATTACATTATCGGATGAACATGATAATAACCGAAAATCTTACCTGGTAAGAACGATGACATGGAACAAAAGTTTTACCCGGTAGGTGAAGGTGGACAACTCTTACTTTAGCGCTTACCGGGTAAATTGTTGCATTCAATGTCATTCTGATAGATTAAAAATCTTACTCGATAAGGTAAATGATAGTGGTAAATTATATCAATAAGCGCATACCGGGTAAGTATTTGGGTAAACGGCCCCTTACTCTTACATTTATTTAGAAACGAAACATATAATATTACATAATTTTACTGTATTGTAAAACATTTACCTCATGTTCTTAAAATCTCTTCAAATTCAAGTTTAAAATTTATTATATACATACAACTTCTTAAAGTTTCATGTTTGAACTTCATAAAAATAACTTATAACCAACTAATAAACACGTAAAAAAATGCGTGATGACGCTTTTTTCTGGAAGAAAAAAAATACACGATAATCGTTGCACCATTCTAATACGGTACGATGCTTTATAAATTTTTGTGCGGCTCTTTAGGTTTACGTACTCCTTGCACAGTGACGATAATTTTTTTAGAAAATACTGAAGTTAAAATGGATCAGTGGTCATAAATCAATATTAAGCTAATAAGAATATATATTACACTTGATACAAAGTCACCTCATCATCCTCGATCTTTTTTAATATATACTAGAAGCGTACTCGCGCAATGCAGCGAGATACATCGTGTTTTTAATATTTCATTTTATTCTTTATCTTAGTCGATGTTATAATATGGCTATATGTGATTTTGAGAAAGCGATAATGTTTTTATTTATGAATAAAATATATGTTTGAMGATATCATAAAAATTTGACAAAAATATATCGATATTAGTATCAAATTAACTATTTGAAATTCCTCATTTTTTT